TATATATGTATTATGTATATGTATGTATGTATGTATGTATAACACGCTTGTATTACAAAAGATATAGCATGTTAGAGTATATTTTAATGTATTCATCCCTTGTATTACAAAAGTGTTAACGGATTACATTTATATTATTTAGATAGTAAATACAAAAGTGATTTTTAATTTTGACCAATGTTGACCTGGAAAGAGACCAACTTTGGTCGCTAATTATCCAGAAATTCAAATTAGCGACCAAAGTTGGTCGCTAATATCTAGAAACTATAATTTGCGACCAACGTTGGTCGCTCAATTTAAATCAGATTTATTTATATTTTATATAATATTTAAAATAGTAATATAATTGCTAAACGTTAGAACTGGGTCCCATATTAGCGACCAAAGTTGGTCTCTATCTGCTTCCCCTTTAGTGAGCGACTAACGTTGGTCGCTAACTTTGAATTATATTTATTTATATTTTATAATTTTTTTAAATAATAATATAACTATTAAAATTTTTTAATTGGGTCTCAGATTAGCGACCAAAGTTGGTCTCTATCTGCTTCCCCTTTCGTTAGCGATCAACTTTGGTCGCCAATTTTAAATTATATTTATTATATTTTATAATTTTTTTAAATAATAATATAATTATTAAAATTTTATAAGTGGATCCCACTTTAGCAACCAACGTTGGTCTCTAATTTCAGTATTTGTTTGACCAAGCAAGTCTGACCAGTCCGGTCAATATTTTGACCAAATTAGCGACCAAAAAGCGATCAACATTGGTCGCTAATGTATTTAGAATAATTATTTAATTATTTTCTCCAGTTTAGCGACCAACGTTGGTCGCTTTTCTTGACAGACCAATTTTGGTCGCCAAATTTTGGTCGCTTTTTTCGGATTTCTAGTAGTGTATATATAGCTTTTCTGCACAGTTGATCATTAGGAAGGTTCTTATCCACCAAGTAAACAAAGAGTTCTGGATGTCAGCAGTATATGGTCTGCACACTATTGACCATAGAAAGACCATGTGGGAAGAGATGACACAATTGCATAATGTGTTAGATGGGCCTTGGATTGCCATGGGAGATTACAATGCTATACTAAGTTTTGACGATAGATTTAATGGCAACCCAGTTATGGAGGCAGAAACTAGGGACTTCTCAACTTTTTTGCAAGACATAGGAATGACAGAACTAAAAACAGTTGGCAGAGAATTTACTTGGACAAACATTCATGTACATAGCAGAATAGATAGAGCTGTAGTAAATGCTATATGGATGATTGACATGACACAGTTAGAGATGGTACTTCATGATCCTTTCTTCTCTGATCATACTCCAATATGCTTATACTTTGAACAAGATCAACGACCACCTTCAAAACCTTTCAAATTCTCCAATAACCTAGCAGATCATAAGGATTTTCCCAGCCTAGTCAAGGAAACCTGGGAAGTTAACATGCAGATCCTTGCTATGCGAAGAATTTGGAAGAAGTTGAAGCTGCTGAAACAAGGCTTGAAAAAGTTAAATGTTGAAGAGTACAGTAAAATACCTAAAAAGATTCAAGCTACTAGAGAGAAATTGCAACAAGCACAACTAAAAATGAGAACGCCTGATCACTCAGAGGAACTGAAGAGCACTGAAAAAATTTGAAAGCGAATCTGGAGAAATAGGTAATGGTAGAGGAAAGTATACTCAAGCAGAAGTCAAGAATTCAGTGGTTAAAGCTAGGTGATTCAAACTCTGCTTTTGTCACGACCCGACTTTTTCACCCTCAGGAGTCGTGATGGCGCCTACTAATGGGAGCTAAGCAAGCCAACTTTACATAATTACTACTCTTTCATATTTCTTCTCTTTAACAAAATACCAGACGATACTATGGTAATAGCGAAATTTTAAATAAATAAGAGGAAGTCAACTGTAATATATCTTAAGACTACGTCTATTACAGCTTTTAAAACCTCAAATACCCAAAACCTGGTGTCACGGAGTCACAGACTGTCTAAGAGTCACTACATACAAGGTCTGAAGAAAATACAATAAACTGTTTCTGAACGAAGAAATAAACAGGGAATAGAGATAGAGGGAGACGCCAGGGCCTGCGGATGCCTGCAGGTCTACCTTGGGTCTCCGGGTGGACTGAAGGAAGCCCTCCAACTACTGTCCGAAAGTTGCTCCTGGATCTGCACACAGTGCAGATTGTAGTATCAGCACAACCGACCCCATGTGCTGGTAAGTATCTAGCCTAACCCCGGCGAAGTAGTGACGAGGCTAGGACCAGACTACAAAATAAACCTGTGCAGTTATATAATATACAGTGGAAAGTAAAGAAGAAATAAAAAAGTAAAGATGGGAGGGGGGAACATGCTGCGGGGGAGATAACAGTTCCGAATAAAGCATCAAGTAGGGAAAGGAACAACATAACTAAAATGTCAACAAGAATCAAATTCAATAAGTGCACGGCATCACCCTTCGTGCTTTTACTCTCGTCCTCACCAAGCAATGATATAATAAAAACGTGCACGGCATCACCCTTCGTGCTTTTACTCTCTTTCCTCACCAAAGCAATTATATGATAAAATGTGCACGGCATCACCCTTCGTGTTGTTACTCTCTTTCCTCACATATAATCAATAGAATCGGCATGGAATGGTACATCGTGCGGCAACGCATCACCCTTTGTGCTTTACACTCTTTCCTCACAATAGCAAACAATGCACGGCATCACCCTTCATGCTTTAACACTCTTCTTCACCCAAACAACAATCCTCACAATAGCAAACAATGCACGGCATCACCCTTCGTGCTTTAACACTCTTCCTCACCCAAAAAACAATCACAAACGAAGGGGCAAGGAAATAAACAAAATAATGATAGAAATCCTGGCAAGGGAACAACATCAATAATCTCAACACCCCGGCAAGGGAGATAATCAACAAGCAACAATATCCCGGCAAGGGAAAGATTTAATAACTCTTTCTCTTTCTTTCACTTTTATTTCATAACTCACTTTACCACTTAAGTCAGTGCTCCAAAGGGTTCAATCATCTCATATACTTTCACAATTTGTAATATAACTTGAGCCAATGCTCCTCGATCAAGATATTCACAATTTAAGGACTCACGGTCATGCTAGATACCAACGTATAGATACTCGTCACCATGCCTATACGTCGTACACGACTAATACCACATAGCAAATAGGACTCAACTCCTAATCCCTCAAGCTAAGGTTAGACCAAACACTTACCTCGATGCCTTGAACACAACTCAAGTCTCAATTATAGCTTTACCCCTTGATTCCTCCGCCAATTCGCTCGTATCTAGCCACAAGTTGCTTAATTACATAAATAAACGCTAAATGAATCAATTTGAATGCATGAAAATGAGTTTTCCAAAGTTTTACCCAAAAAGTCAAAATTGCCCCCGGGCCCACGTGGTCAAAACCCGAGGTTCGAACCAATAGCCGATTACCCATTCCCCCACGAACTAAAATATATAATTTGTTTTGAAATTGGACCTCAAATCGAGGTCCAAATCCCCAATTTTTGAAAAACCTAGGTTCTACCAAAAACACCCAATTTCCCCCATGAAAATCTTTGATTTTAAGTTGAAATCATGTTAAAAGATGTTAAGGAGTGAAGAAAATGAGTTAGAAATCACTTACCAACGTTTTGGAGAAGAAAGGTTGTTTGAAAAATCGCCTCTTATGTTTTTAGGGTTTTGAAAAATAAAAAATGACTGAAAATCCCGTCTATATATATACCTCTCAGAATCCCTGTGCGGACCGCACAAAACGGACCGCGGTCGCACAGCCTTTTCCTGAGGGTACACGGTCTCAGAATCCCTGCGCGCACCGCACAAAACGGATTCCTGTGACCCTGTGCGGATCGCACAAAGTCGACTGCGGCCGCACAGCCCTCCACCAGGCACCGCACCAAGTCGACCGTGGACCGCACTGCCCCTTCAGCGATCGCACAGGATTTCTCGCGGACCGCACTAGCGGGTTCAGAGATCTGCAATTTCTCTGATCCTGCAACATCTGTGATTTTTAAGCCTAAGACATCCCGGGACCTACCCGAAACTCACCCGAGCCCTCGGAACTCCAAACCGGATGTGCATATTAACTCAAAAACATCATACGAACTTATCTGTGCGATCAAATCGCCAAAATAACCTTAACCAACGAATTAAACCTCAAAATCAAAGAACTTCTCTCAACTTCATAAAGTATCAAATTTAGCAATTCAAGTCCGGATCACGTCAAACGACGTCCGTTTTTCACTAAATTTTGCAGAAACATCTTAAATCATATATAAGACCTGTACCGGGTGCCGGAACCAAAATACGGGCCCGATACCAACACGTTCTAATCAAATTTCATTTCAAATTTCCTTAAACAATTTCAGAAAACAATTTCCTTTAAAAATTCATTTCTCGGGCTTGGGACCTCGGAAATTCGATTTCGGGCATACGCCCGAGTCCCATATTTTCCTACGGACCCTCCGGGATCGTAAAATCACGGGTCCGGGTCCGCTTACCCAAAACGTTGACCAAAGTCCAATTAGCTCATTTTATAACCAATTTTTTTTATAATTTTTCATAGATTTCCATATTTAAGCTTTCCGGCTACGCGCCCGAACTACGCACGCAATTTGAGGTGACTCTAAATAAGGTTTTCAAGGCCTCGGAAACATAGAATTTAATTTAGAATAAGTGATGACCGTTTGGGTCATCACATTCTCCACCGCTAAAACAACTGTTCGTCCTCGAACGGACAGAAGAAGGAAGTACCTGAGTCGGGGAAAAGATGGGGATAACAGCTTCGCATATCGGACTCGGACTCCCAAGTCGATACCTCAGGAGGCTGATCTCTCCATAGAACACGAACAGAAGGAAAACTCTTCGACCTCAACTGACGAACCTGCCGGTCTAGAATAGCTACCGGCTCCTCCTCGTAAGACAAGTCCTTGTCCAACTGGACAGTGCTGTGATCTAACACGTGGGATGGATCGCCGTGATACCTCCGAAGCATGGACACATGGAACACTGGATGCACGACTGATAAGTTCGGCGGCAATGCAAGTCTATAAGCCACCTCTCCCACTCGATCAAGAATCTCAAATGGACCAATGAACCTAGGGCTAAGCTTGCCCTTCTTCCCAAATCTCATCACGCCTTTCATAGGCGACACTCGGAGTAATACCCGCTCACCGACCATAAAAGCCACATCTCAAACCTTGCGGTCTGCATAACTCCTTTGCCTGGACTGAGCTGCACGAAGCCTATCCTGAATAATCTTGACCTTGTCCAAGGTCTCCTGAACCAGATCCGTACCCAACAACCGAGCCTCTCTCGGCTCAAACCACCCAACGGAGACCGATACCACCTACCGTATAAATCCTCGTAAGGAGCCATCTGAATGCTCGACTGGTAGCTGTTGTTGTAGGCAAACTCTGCTAAAGGAAAAAACTGATCCCACGAACCTCCAAAGTCGATGACACAAGCTCGGAGCATATCCTCCAAAATCTGAATAGTACGCTCGGACTGCCCGCCCGTCTAGGGATAAAATGTTGTGCTCAACTCAACCCGTGTGCCCAACTCTCGCTGAACTGCTCTCCATAAATGCGAGGTGAACTACGTACCCCGGTCTGAAATGATAGATACGGGCACACCATGAAGGCGAACAATCTCCCAAATGTAGATCTCAGCTAACCTCTCAGAAGAATAGGAGATTGCCATAGAAATGAAATAAGCTGACTTGGTCAGCCTATCAACAATGACCCATACTGCATCGAACTTCCTCCGAGTCAGCAGAAGTCCAGTAACAAAGTCCATAGTGATTCGCTCCCACTTTCACTCGGGAAGCTCAATCCTCTGAAATAAACCACCAAGCCTCTGATGCTCGTACTTAACCTGCTGACAATTCAAACAACGAGCCACATATGCTACGATATCCTTCTTCATTTTATGCCACCAATAATGCTACCGCAAATCCTGATACATCTTCGCGGCGCCCGGATGAATAGAGTACCGAGAGCTATGGGTCTCCTCTAAAATCAACTCTCGGAGCCCATCTATATTAGGCACACAAACTTGACCCTGCAATCTCAGAACTCCATCATCATCTAAGGTAACCTTCTTGGCACCTCTGCGCTGCACTGTGTCCCTGAGGACACACAAATGGGGATCATCATACTGCCGATCACGGATACGCTCCAATAAAGAAGAACGAGCGACCGTGCAAGCTAATACTCGACTAGGCTTAGAAACATCCAGTCTCACGAACTGATTGGCCAAAGCCTGAACATCCAAAGCAAGCGGTCTCTTACCGACCGGAATGTAAGCAAGACTGCCCATACTGGCTGACTTCCTACTCAAAGCATCGGCCACCACATTGGCCTTTCCCGGATGATATAAGATGGTGATATCATAATCTTTCAACAACTCCAACCACCTCCTCTGCCTCAAATTCAACTCCTTTTGCTTGAACAAATACAGAAGACTTGTGATCTGTGAACACCTCACATGCCACGCCATATAGATAATGCCTCCAAATCTTCAATGCGTGAACTATGGCTGCCAACTCCAAATCATGAACCGGATAGTTCTTCTCATGAATCTTCAACTGCCGCGAAGCATAGGCAATGACCTTGCCATCCTGCATCAACACTGCACCAAGCCCAATAGGGAAGCATACAATAAATTGTATAAGGTCCTGAACCTGTGGG